GTGTGTGTGTGTGTGTGTGTGTGTGTGAGAGAGAGAGAGAGAGAGAGAGAGAGAGAGAGAGAGAGAGAGAGAGAGAGAGAGAGAGAGAAAGAGGGGGGCAAAGAAAACCTATGATAATTTTATGGTAATTTGTTAACACTGAAAGGGAATTACAAAGGTATTGCTTTTAGGAACTGAAGTCTTTTTTGCCCCTTTCTAGCTTTTAAAATGTGAGGCCTTTCACTTCTAACGGGAAAAAAAAAATCAATCTTTTAGGTTTAGTAAGTGATTGGAATGTCACATAACAAGAAGGGAATATATATGGGTAAGATTTATCATTCCCCAAAGATTCATGAAGAATTACACTATTTAACTGAGAAAGTCTGGGAGAAGACACACAGTAGTCTAATTTCAAACATTATCATCAAAACCAAAGAAACAATTCAGGTGTAGGTAGTAATCTTTCTGGCTTCCCCAAGCACCCTCCTGAGGTACTGAGGAAGCCTCAGAGACAGAGATACCGTGACCATGAAGGTCACTTTCCCAAGGTAAAGCTCATTCAATGCACTCTGTCTGTCCTGACCCTGGTAGTCCACAAGTGTGGGAAACTTCACTGCATAATTTGTGGTAGTGGGGAATTGCATTTATTCAGGATCCCCCTCCTTTTAAGAATGAAAATAGGGGCTGGAGAAAAAGCTAAGAGAACTCATTGCTATTTGGTTCCTATCTCCCACATGGTGGTTCACAACCATCTGTAACTCTAGTTATAGATCTAGAAGATCTGACACCTTCTTCTTACCACTGTAGGCATCAGGAGCACACACAGTGCTCATACAAACATGAAGACAAAACACTCATACACATAAAATAAAACAAATATTAAAAAAAGAAAAAATTACAAAAAGAGGGAGACACAGATTTTATAGAAGAATGGAACCTGCTTATCTTCCAAAATATCATGAAGTGAATAATTTAGAGGAAATAAACCAGAAATCTATGTATATTACCTTTCTCTTGATAGGCAGGTGAGAGATGAATGATCTATTCATAGATAACTCTGTCCTACTTTACAAAGCCAAGGATTAGGTCACTATTGATACTTGGCGATAGCAATGGTAGATAAGTCAGCTTACCAAAATCTTGTACTGGAGATGAGTGCCATTCTGTCCAGCTTCTGTTATGGCCCCTGTCCCCTAATTCAAGGGCATACTTGACATTAACTGGCAACTGGAATAATATGTTCTTGCCTACTCAACACTAGAAGCTGATTAGACCAAAGCTAAAAATCTCATCCTAATTTTGCATTTTCTTTCCTGGTCCAGCACCCGTGATCAGGGCTGGCGGTACTTGTAAGGTCTGTGTTCTCAAAGACAAAAGAGTGGGCAGATGCAGCAGAGACCAAGAGTCTTGGGGCCAGAGGGACAAGGACAAAAGAGACGCAGGAGCAGAAAGAGAGCACTGGAAACGTTCTGGGTCTGCAAAATTCTGCTGTCCTTGCTAAAACTGGACTCCTTGGGATGCTTTAACGGCCTCACGGTAAACCTCTCTTTAATTAGTCTAGCTCATACGGGTATTTTCCTTTCTTGTAGTTGTGCGTAACTAAACTGTTCACCATGTTCACTTTCAAGAATTCTGAAAAGAGCAGCAGCTTACATTTTCCTGCCAGAGTTTCAGACCTGACGTCAGAAGTGCCATCCCCATACCTTTGGCCTAAATGCCAAGGCAGTTCAGACAAACAGCACAGAGGCCTTGTTAGCATACAGCCCGGACTCAGCTTGTTCCACTCCGTGGAAGTGGCTAAGAAACTTTAGATTATTCCTTTCTCGGGTTGCAGACTTGACATAAATTAATTAGTAAATAAAAGTCCTTTGATCTGTTGCAATTTTGATTGAGCAGTAGAGAATGAGGAAAACAGTAGACCAGTGAGTAAACACATTGTCCACGGCATTAAAGAAAGCGAGAAGCTTCTGGGGTCCAAAAAGATGCTCTATTCCTATAATTATACTCTGGCTGGTATGTGTGAGACCCATAAATATTTCATTTGACCTGTTAAGTCAATGTTTTAAAGAAAATAGTGAATGGTTCAAGGCAAGAACACTTAAGCAAACCATTGCGTCATGAAAACCATTAGGAGTTGTGTGTACAATTAATTAGCAAGCAAAGGTGTCAACACTGCATGCTGGTTAGTTTCCTTATCAACTTGACACAACCCTAGAGTCACCTGGACAGAGAAAACCTCACCTGAGGAACTGCCTTGATCAGACTGGCCCATGGCCACGTCTGTGAGAAATTGTCGTGATTGATGTTTGGTGTAGATTAACCCAGCTCACTGAGAGCAGAGCTGTACCTTGGCAAGTGGGCCTGGCCTGTACAAGAGGGTAAAAGACAGCTAGAAAGAGAGAGACAGTGAGCAATGCTTGTCCACAGTTCCTGCCCTGACTGCCCTCAGTGATGAACTATGACCTGGAAATACAAGGTGAAATAAACTCTTTCCTTCCCAGTTTGCTCTTGGTCATGATATTTATCATGGCAACAGACACTCAATTTGTGTTCAGCAAACTAGAACACACTGAGTATGAGGGGAATTAGAAAGGAAGACAATAGTACAAATAATTCAAGGGGAGAGCATAAAGACTCAAAGGACTCGGATGACTTATTCTCAAGATAATTCCAACGAAGTTCAAATCATGTGGAAGTTACACTGAGGGATGATAGGAGAGTGGTGGGCACACAGAAACCCCGATGAACGAATGTCTTACACAGAACTTCACCGATGAATGGTAGTTCCAGAAGCTTCCAGAGTCAATCTGGACTCTGGACATTGGCAGGCTGAGAAGACCTGTGCAAAACCTACAGATTCCTTGGAGGAAGGGCTCCTGAAAATGGCAGCAGGCACAACCTGTAGCCCGAAAGGCCCTCAAAGATGACATGAGTTTGTAGGTGGGAAGTGGTCATTCTCTTCTCTCTCTCCTCTCACAACTGGTCTGAGAAAAGTTAGATGCATCCTATTAGGTTACGGAAGTGGGTGAATGGGATATTAGCCTGAGAACCTATGATAACCTAGCATGTGAACTCTTTGATGTTTGCTGGAGGTGTCGCTGAGAACAGTTTCAAAATCCTCTGGTATTTTTGTTCTCCTTTCTCATCTTGACTTTAGGTGATGATAAGTATTTCTTTTCAAGGAGAATTGGGTCTTACCTTCTTTCAGCTGTGGTCCACCATTGTTATACCAGAACCCTGGTAGTGGGGGTCAACTGTCAGGGAGGGGAGTGTCATCAATACTTTACTGATTGAATTTCTGTGTTTTGTTGAGCCTAGAATTTTGCAGGTTTTTCTCCAGTGTTACTTTTTTCTCCTAACAGCAATATCTCCTGTCTATTTCTGTGAATCCTTTATCTCTATTGACTTTGTCTCCTTCTCTTATATGATATAAAACATTAGTGAGTGTTTCAGTTGAAAAGACAGCCTTCTTTTAATGGGGATAGGTTTCTGGAAAAGTCTCTTCCCTGGCTTAAAGGCCATAATGGTAGGGAAATCTCTGGATGTATTTTACAGTAATTATTCTTTCTTTCCTCCCTGTACAGCCACCAGGAGATCTTTCTCGACTTTGCACTGTTAGAATTCCAGGAGACAGCATCTACTAAGGTGGTTGGTCCCTCTCAGACTATGGTTCCCAGCAATTGCTCATGCTAGTCCACACTCAGCCTCTAGCAATTTATCAAAGTGCTATTTAAGTGGTTTCTTCTAGCTTATAGCTTGAGTGACTTCTGCTTCAAACACGAAGATCTATGCTATGCATCAGGAAATCTGAAACACCTAGGAATGAAGTTAATAAAGATACAGAAGTCTGCCAGTTTGACAGCTATAAAACACTGTAGAGAGGAATCGGGGAACACCTAAATAAATGGAGAGCCACACCATGGTTATAGATTGGAAATTTCAATATCACGAAGATATCAATTATGTCAGTTCCCATGGCTGCCATGACAAATCACCACAAACTTAGAGGTTTCTAATAACACAAATTTATTATCTTACAGCTCTGTAGGTTGGAATTCTGATCAAGGACTCATGAGATCAAGACTGTATTCCTTCTGTGGCTCTAGGGAAGAATCAGTTTCTTTACCTTGCCCGGCTCCCATAGACCACCCACTCTCTTTTCCAAGTACCTCTCCACCTTCAAAGCCAGGGACAGCATGTCAAGTTCCTTTTGTATTGTATCATTCTGACTTCCTCTTTTCTCATCTTCTTCTTATACATTTAAGGGACCTAAATGTCAACCCTGAGCCCAGCCACATGAGCTAGGTCAACCTCCATGTTTTAAAGTCAGCTGAGTAACAAGCTGAATTTGCCCTTTGCCATACACCCTACCAAATTTATAAGTCCCCAAATCTAGGGCATGGATAATTTCAGCAGGAGGAAGGAGAAAACTTAGTTCCACTTCCTTAAATGATATACAGTTTCAATGCATTTTCAATAAGATACCAGCATGCCTTGTGTAGAAATTGCCAAGTTGATACTCAAATGTATAAAGAATGCCAAACATTTTAGAATACTAGACTAAACAATCTTTTAGATTGTTTAATCCAGCAAAGTTACACTCTCTGATTATAAAACTGTCTATAAAGCCAGAGTTATCAAGACAATGTGTATTACTTTCAGAATATACTGAGGGATCAATAAGTGGTGTTGGGACATCTGAATACATGTTTATAGAAAGATACTGAACCATGGTGAGCACCTCACAACATGCCAAAATTAACAGGAGAATTACATTCACATTCTTAGGAATTCCACCATAGAGTTCTGGGGAGATGACTCAAGTAGGTTAGAGCGCCTGCTGTGTGAACATGAAGACCTGCCTGAGTTGGGATCTGGAGCACCCACATTAAAAGGGGGGGTGGGGCAGGCTGCCTGCACGCATGCGTTTATAAACCCAACATGTGGGGCAGAGACCTATGGATGGATTCCTGGGACTCACTGGCCAGCCAGACTAACCCAAAACAGTGAGCTCTAGCTTCAACAAACCATTCTGGGGGAAGTGGGGTCAACAGCAACAGGAGAAGACATCCAGTGTCAGCCTCGAGCTTCCACACAGGCCAACACACTGGTGTGTGTGTGTGTGTGTGTGTGTGTGTGTGTGTGTGTGTGTGTGTGTAAGAAATAAAGGGACAGAGACAGACTATAGAGACAGAGAAAGTGCAAAACCAGACTATAAAATTTCTAGAAAAAAACTACAGAGGCATACCTTTGCAAACTTGGGAATTGTCTCAGAATGTGAAAACGGTCGTGTATAGGGGGAAATGACAAACTAATAAACTGGACTAGATTTTCCTGAAGTCCACTTATCCAAAGTCACTGTTAAAACAGTATGACCTGAGGTTAGAGTGACAGTTCAGTGACAGAGAACTTGTACTAGCATGTTGTACAAAGCAGTAGAGAGGACGAGCTGAAACATGGACTCGGAGGAAATCTCTGGACTGTGTATGTTGAACTATCATGGATACATGTTGCCCTCCCAGACCTCTTTCAAATAGTCATGTTTGTAACATATATCAGATATTTATTTCTTTATTAAATTTAAGCAAATATCCTTTTAATTTCAGTGTATGGGTAACCACACTTTAAACACACGTTCAGCTATCTGTGGACACTTAGACTCTTCTTACCTTTTGGTTATCTTAAATAAAATGAGTGTTTGCATCCTTGCCTTTAATTCTTTTATGTGTATACGTCCACGTGGAGTTTCTGGATTCCACAGTAATATTTCATTTCTGAAATAACTGTGGTGGTTTGCATGAGAATGGTCCCCATAAACTCATATATGTGAATGCTTGGTCTCTAGTTGGTGGAACTGTTTAGGAAGGATGAGGAGAGGTGGTCTTGTAGAAAGAGATGTGTCACTGGAGGTGGGCTTTGAGGTTTCAAAAGTGCATGCCAGACCCAGCCATCCCCACCAGCCCCCCATTTGTTCCTGCCCACGGATCAGGATGCACAACTCTCAGTTACTGCTGTAGCACCATGCTTCCCACCGTGCTGATCATGGACTAACCCTCTAAAATTCTAGGTAGGCTCCCAATTAAATGGTTTTTTTAAAAAGTTGCCTTGGTCATGGTGTCTCTTCACAGCAAGAGAACAATTACTAAGACAGAAACACACCATTTTCCACAACGGTGATACTAATATTTCCAGCCTGCCCAAGGGTATCAATTTCTTCATGCCCTCCCTAACATTTCGTGTTTTCTATTTTTGATTTTGTTTGTAGAAATCGTCGCCATCCCAGCTGTCCTAACACTGTATGGAGTGGTGTCTCTGGGGTTTTGATTTGGGCTTCCCTAATGATTAGTGATTCTGAGCATTTTCCTCCTCTTCTAGAACTCCAATTAGATGGATGTGGGATCTCCTACATCTGTCTTTCCTGTCTCAATTCTGTACTTATTTTCAGCTCATTATTTTTTACTATACCCTGGGAGAATTCTTTGGCCACATATTTTAATTTACTACTTCAATCTTACGTTATGTAAATTTTGTTCTTTATACCATCTGTTATTTCATTTTAGTGATAATTTTTTTTTTTCAATTTTCAGGGATTCTAGTAGATTGTCCTCCACAGCCATCTGTTCTTTTTGTGATGTGAAAGCTCCTGACTCCTGGCTATTAACTCCATTTCCTCAAGAATTAGTTCTTCTGCTCCTGGAGTTGGCTTCGTTGGTTTTCATAAAGTGATGGGCAATTGCTGGTTGTATGTCCATCTGCTTCAAAGGTCTGTAGTGAACTGGATTGGTTGCCGAGTACGTTTCCTCTGTCCAGCTGAAAATGCCCTGCTTTTCTGGTTGCAGTAGACTTGGAACACTTTGTGGTCCTCTGATGAAGCATGAGACTTCTGCCACAGGAGTTAGTCAAGCTGCTTGTTTTCCCATTGGGATCTTAGAGTGACCACATATTTTCTGGGGTTCCCTGTTTTTCAGATGCCAACAACCATCCTGAAGATGGTCCATGTTCAAGTTTCCATTGATCTGGAAATGGAAGACTGGTCTTTCAGGCAGGCGGCAGTTCTGAGAGAACAGCTGGGGCAGCTGTTCTCCCCCAGCCCATCACATGCAGCCAGTACTGCTCATGGCTGTGGCCCTTGAGCCCGCTGCACAGAAACACACTTCTCTTCCGTTCTTGCTCCCCTCCCCTTCCCTGTTTCCAGCCTTGGAATCCCTTCCCTCCTTCCTTTCTCTTTTATTAAAAAAAAAAGTTTGTTTTTTTTTTTAAACGTGTGTGTGTGTGTATGTGTGTGTGTGTCTGTGTCTGTGTCTGTGTCTGTGTGTCTGTCTGCCTCTCTCTGTGTCTGTCTTTCTGTTTGTCTTGTCTGTGTCTCTGTTTGTCTGCCTCTGTCAGTCTGTATGTCTCTGTCTCTGTCTGTTTGCCTGCCTGTCTCTGACTCTGTTTCTGTCTTTGTCTTTGTCTCTTTCTGTGTTATCTGTCTGTCTGTCTGTCTGTCTGTCTGTCTGTCTCTCTCTCTCTCTCTCTGTGTGTGTGTGTGTGTGTGTGTGTGTGTGTGTGTGTGTGTGTGTGTGTGTATGTGTGTGCGCCTGTGGAGGCCAGAAGAGGGAGTGTTGAATCTTTTGGGAATAAAGTTACAGGCCAATGTGTGTCACCAGACATGGGTGCTGGGAACCCAATTTGAACTTTCTGCAAGAGAAGGAGGCTCCAGTCTCTCTCTCTGGCCCCCTTTTTTATTTTTAGAGAAACAGCAAGGGGAAGGGAAAGCTGAGGGGAAGCACACAGTTCCCTCTTGCTGTGTCTCAGCCTGTAAAATAACGGGCTGGACAATGTGGTGGGGGTGGCTGCCTGCCCAGATCTCTCCGCTCTTCTCTACTTGCTTGGAGGGACTACGCCCTCTTGTTTTTCAATATTGCAATGGATTTTTTTATTATTTAGAAACTATGTATGACATTTTAAAAGACATGAAATAGAAACGTTTTATTTGGTTAGAGACTCCAAATCTGAAGCTTTTGATTTACATTCTGCACTTGTATTAAGGTATTGAATCACCCCCATGATTCAAACCTTGGTCCTTCCCCCAAAGTCTTCCTCATCACTTGAGCCCATAATCCTCACTCCCTCATGAGCCTTCTAGACTAATTACAAGAGAAGGTGAAAAATGTTATTGACATGCAAGCTCATCATAGCAATACCTGCCCTCTGTAAGCCTCCGGTGGCGAGTGGCAAGGTTGATATTTCTGGAAAAAAAATATTTATATTGATTCAGTGCTAGAGATGGATGGGGGAGTAGATGACCCAGAGTCATCAGCTGGAGAGTGCTTGCATGTGTCCAGCAGAGGCAGGAGCCTCATTGTAGAGAGCAAAATTGCTTTGTAGGGCTGGGAATGAGTGCAGAAAAGTACACCACACGGTAGCATGCTAGGGCCTGAACTGGCCGGAATTACTGTAAGAATAATAAATAAATAATAAATAACCACATTTTTTAACTGCTATTTTTTTTTAATTCGGTGTGAAACTCCTCCCCGAAGTCTGAGTGACAGTTGCTGTGTTCACCTCTCAATGAGGGTGTTTGTTGCTAGTTTGGGACTCATGTGTCAGCAAGGGTGTTTGTTGCTAGTTTGGGACTTGTGTGTCAGCGAGGGTGTTTCCTGCTAGTTTGGGACAGCACAAAGGCAGCAATTGTGAGGAAGAAAGAAAAAGTGAAATTAAAACTCCAGGCGTAGCAGAATCTACGACTCCAAAGTGACACGGAGACTAGAAATCTTTGGAATTCTTCAGGAAACCTTAGAAGGGAGAGGAATGTGAAGTTCCTGGTAACATCTGGATTACATATTTATCCTTTGAACTGCCAGTCCTCTGTGTATGCCAGTGTTCATTACAAGCTTCTTAGGTGTGGGACGTGCTGGGTTTTTGTGTGTGTATCTGTCTTTTTACTGTCCACAAATCTAGCACAGCTGTGTCCAGATGGTCTTTAAATCACTTAAACTATTTAGCTGTCATGGATCCATTTACACCTCCACTTCTTTATGAAAAAGACCCATCCTTTCCAGGCCCGTAGTTGGGATGAGAGCTAAGGCTTCATTTACAGCCCCTCACTTGTTTGACTGTTAAATCCATAACAAATCCACCCTACAGCCGGGGGTTAGAGCATCGAAAGGGCTTCATTTTAGTGACCTGGGAAAAGATAAACACAAGTAACAAGTACAAACATTTATAGTGGAAAACACAACCACATGAGTCAGATAAAATATGATTATTTGTGTTTAATGATCATTGATTCTAAGTATTGTAAGGCAATGAATTCTCTCTCTACCCATGCACACAGAGACTCACACACAGAGACACACATATACACACACACACATACACACCCCAAATCCCTTCTTTTCTTTGGATAAATAGCCATTTAATTTTCCTTTGAGAAGAAGACATCTATCATCAGTTGCTGGATTAGTGGGATTTTCAACCAGTAAGACTCATCTTTCTCTGACCAATACTGAAACCATGAGTCAGATACTTTCTGAAATTTGAGTCTCAACC